ATGAGGGGATGTCTTCAATGACCTAAAGACCTCTCCTAACACCTAAGCTCAAAATCTCTATCAACTACCAATAGTACCATAATGAAGAACCGTTCTTTAAACATAGGCCTTTTGTGAGGACAGTCAAGATCCAAATGATAGCATGTATGTGGCCGCATAGTTTAGCAGAAAAGATGATGGACTTTCAAGAGTTAGGTGATTTTGTTTCCTGAGTGTGTGATTTTGCCCAGTTACAATATCCTTCATCCTTAATTACTTCAAACACCACCAGCATTCAGCAGTAGTTCAATTTTATATTTTTGAGGATCTCCATATTGTTTTCCATATGGCTATATGTACATTTTTAACAACTGTGTAAAGATTCCCTTTCCTCCACATCTGCGAGTTTTTTTGTTTTTTTTTTGGTGCTGGCTTTGGAGCTTGAACCTGGGGACTGAGCGTTTTTGTTCAAGGCTAGCTCTCTGTCACTTGAGCCACAATTTCACTTTCCGCTTTTTTTTTGGCAGTTAAAGATAAGAATTTCATAGACTTGGGCTCAGTGGGAGAGTGCTTGACTTGCACGCATGAGGCCCTGGGTTCGATTCCTCAGCACACATAAGCAGAAAAAGCCGGAAGTGGTGCTGTGGCTCAAAGGCCTTGAGCTGAAGAGCTGAGGGACAGCACCCAAGCCCAGAGTTCAGGCCCCACGATCCACACACACACACACACACACACACACACACACACACACACACACACACTACTCATAGACTTTTCTGCTTGGATTGGCTTTGAACCATGATCCTCAGCCTCCAGAGCAGTTCGGATAACAAATGTGAGTCACCAGTGTCTGGCCACATCCATGTCTTTTAGTGACTACTGTTTTTGCATCAGTGCTCTGTATCTAACACTCAGCTAATTCAGATGGGGGTGTGATTTTCTTTCCAAACATGTTTATATCTCTTTTCCACTAATTTTCTCAATGACTGCTCTAATCCAACCCACCGTCTTTAGATTACCATAAAGGTTTCAGACTTAGTCACTCTGAAATGTTTCTAACAAGTAACCAAGTGGTTTTGCTGATCTAGAGAGTGATCTCCAAGAACCACAGCTTTGGAGTTCATAGCTACACTCTTGAAGGGGCCCTTTAAGACTGAACTGCTTGAGGTTCAGATTGATTCAGTATGGGGATGAGATCTGGCCATTTATAACTTTTACATCTCCCTAGGTGGTTTACAATATGTACCAAGGATTGAGAAATACTGCCAAGGCTTAGAGAAAGAGCCATGTTCATGCTTACTCCCTGTGGCTTTTGCACAAGTTGTCCTTATTAACTAGTGTGCTCTTCTGTGTTGCTCCCAATCCATACAGTCTTGTCTTCATCACACCGTCCCTACTTCTTTTCATTATGGGAATTTGCAGTTGCTGAAATTTTCCTATTGATGTATATTGTCTGTGTCTTCCAACTACATTCTACACATCTAGAGCATAGGCACCTTCTTTGTCTCATCCACTGCTTTATCCTCAGCATCTAGAACAGTGCTTAGTATGGGCAAGTATTCAATATATGTGAATAAAAGATAAAAGCCTTAACTACTTCAGTTCAATACATTTTAATAAAATGTGTTCTATTGTACAGCAGAGTTGAATCATCCATGGAAAAAATCATATATTGAGGCCTGGGAAGGTGGCTCAGTGGTAGAGTGCTTGCCTTGTATGCATGAGGCCTGGGTTCGATTCCTCAGCACCATATAAGCAGAAAAAGCAGGAAGTGGCGCTGTGACTCAAGTGGTAGAGCGCTAGCCTTGAGCTGAAGGGCTGAGGGACAGTGCCCAGGCCCAGAGTTCAGGCCCTACCACCGACAAAAAAATAAAATAAAATAAAAATCATATATTGATATTTTCCTAAATGTCTTAATCACACTTGTTCATTTTTCTAAAAACAGGAACTCAACATTAATTCTTCTGTAAATAATTATCACGTAATGTTTGCAATGTTGTTTACAATGTGGGTTGCTGTCTTATGGAACACAACTCCTACAGGGTAGGGTGGCTGGGAATGAGTATAATGTATTTACTAAATCAAGGGATTGCTTATTATTAGTTTTTAACAAGAAGACAAGGAATAATAATGTTAACACGCTCTCCAAGAACCACTGGAGTCACAATGTTAGACATGAAAATAAAGAATTGTCTTAGCAAGACAAAATTTACTTATGTAGAAAGGTGTGCTATTGTGGGGTCCGAGAATAAGTCCACCAACACGGGCGTATAGTTTGAAGTTTATTGAGGTGTTATGGAAGCTGACCAGCCAGGGACACGGTGTAGACTAGGGAGCTAGCACTGTGACTCCAAGCATGGACACAAGCTAGGCTTATGAAGGCAAAAACCGCAAGCAGGTACTGTAGTAGGAAGACCCCTACTCAGGCAGGAAAGCCCACCTATTTGTCTGGAGTGACAGAGCCCAATGCAACAAAGTTGTTAATAAGGAAGCAACTTTATTGAGAAGGTTCCTACACTGACTGGCTAGGGTTGCAGCACAGGCTCGGGAGCTGAGAGTGTGACCCCCAGTGCCCATGTACTTTGGTTTTTAAAGGCAAAATCCATGAGGTGGAGCCTGGTCACACACCCAAAAGATTGCAGTCATACAAGACCACACGCAGGTGGCCAATGAGGTTACAGTTTGTCAAACAATGGCTGTTTAAAGCAGCCTATCACTTTTGGTTTAAATGACTCACAAATTCAACCGGTAAGGCGGAGCTTACGGTAAGCATACACAAAGGAGGAGTTTAGTGGAGTTTACCATAAGCACGTGAAAAAGGTAGAGGTAACCTTGTGATGAGCCAGATTACAACCTATCTGTTTTGTCGATGATCAAGATGGATTAGGTTGTTCAGGGGAGGGGGACCTAGAGGCTTTCGTTCCATTCTATGAACTGGGCTGGTCGGAGCCAAGGTCAAGTTAATTTTGCTTAAAGGTTTTTTTTTTTTTTTTTTCTTCTAAAATCCCCAAAACAAAGGCAAAGTCTGGAAAGAAGCTGTACCAGCTCAAGTCTACTCTCATGGCCTACTTCAGGTACAAGCTGTAAAGTTCCAGTATTATGATAATATCAACGTTTTTGAAACAGGGGACTTTTACAATGGCAGTTACCTGTTATTGCATTCCTCAGTTCCTGGAAAGCGGTTAAATTCCTGACTCAGTTTCCCAGTAAGAGGTTATAGCATTCCTCAGTTCCTGGTAAGAGGTTTAATTCCTGACTCAGTTTCCTTGCTTGGTCTAGGGCTTTTTTTTTTTTTTTTAAATCCTAAGAGACCCTTACACTATCAGCCAGAAATGTGGCAAGCAAGCACACAGAGTAGGCAGACTGCTCCCCTATTTATCCCTAATATATCAGGCCTGGCCCCTCTGCTCAAGTTGGCTGAATTCAGGTTCACAATCTAGTCTCCACTGGCTAGTATGAATGAATAAGGTATGATGTATTTACATAAATTGACCATTAAAAGACTTTGGAATAAGATTAACAATATACAAGTATTCTCAAAAACATATTCACACCCTCAAGAAATATTTTGAACAGTCTGAGGTGTGTCTTAATTCCATCTTGCAAAAAAAAAAAAAAGCCATTTTAAGACAAAACCTTAAAAATCCTTCCTGATCCCAAAGCAGTTTCTCTTTTCCTTAACAAGAGTCAAGTCACCATGCCAAAGCAGGAACTTTTAAGCAATACACTTTGACAGAAAAAAGCGTTTTCCTCACAGTAATTTACAGACAAGTAGAACGGTTTTGCAGGGAGCAACAATCACAGCGAAGTGTGAATGCTCCCGATTTCCTGCTAAAACAGGGATAAAATTATCTTCTGGGGGCATGTCTTTCACGAATGAATGTAATCTGGCAAAACTGGGGAGATTTAATTCCAAGTAGAGGTAAATTACTTGAGATTACTAAAATACCTTGTTACAAAAAAGCCTGCTCAAGCCAGAGAGACAAGCTTCAGCTGTGGGTCACATGTCACTTGGTTTCAAGGAATCAGTTAAATAAAACGTTCAACTCAGGTTAGGTGAAATAAGGACACAGCAGATGTCCTTAAGTCTTACACCAGTTATTTCTGAACTATATTACCTGTAAAACCACAGAACACATAATGGTTCTGGATAAAAGGAGACTCCCTGTCCCCGATCCTTCTCTACCTGGTATTAGATACTTCCTCAAAAGTCCCCAGTATCCAACCTTCGCCCCTGGCAATAGGACTCCTTTCAAGTGCAACCAGTTTTTCAGGCAGCCACCTCCCTTTTCCTCTCTCTGTGTATTAAAACCGTCTTTGTTCTGGAGCAATAGTTGGAATCCCACTGGCGACTAGGCCTAGTGCAAGAAAGAAGAGCTAAACTGACAGAGTTTGAAACAACAAAATCCAGCCTGCCCTCCACACGCAGAAAGACCAAAGGCACAGGGGTACGCCAAGGAGCCTACAGCAGAGCCCAGGCGCGGCGGTGCACCCTGGGAATTGTAGTCTTTGTGGATGCAGTGTCTTCGGTTTCCACCACGCTCCACACTACATTTCCCAGACATCCGCGCGCCGCGGCGGAGACGCGCGGAGGGGGCGCTTGGTGATGAGCTGCTGCGGGGGTGGGGGCCTGGGGCGCAGAGTCGCTGCGGTCGCTACCGGGGGGACGTTGACGTCTGGCGTCTCCGGAGGGGCCGAGTGGTCCCCGGGCGAGTGGCTCCGAGTGGCCACTGCGTGTCCCCCGTGTTCTTCGCTCTCTCCATTGACGTGCGGCGTCCGCCATGGAAGCTCCTCCGGCCACCGCCGGGGTGTCGGGGCACCGCGATGCCGGCTCTCCGGAGCGATGAGGGGCTAGAGGGGCGCCCCGCGGCCCACCCTTAGCTCCGGTGAGGAGGGGCCCTCGGGCGGGCCGCCCCGCGCCCGGGTGCCGCCCCCTCCCCGCGCCGCCCCGCCTCGCCCCGCCCCCGGAGGCGCAGCCCTCGGGGCGCCCGCCGCCCACTCCGCCCATGCCGCTCCGGAGCTCCGTCGTTCCCCGCACCTCCCGCTGAGTCCCGCGCCCGCCGCCCGGAGGCCATCGCCGCGCCCAAGATGTGGCACAACGTGGGGCTGACCCTGCTGGTGTTCGTGGCCACGCTGCTGATCGTCCTGCTGCTGATGGTGTGCGGTGAGTGGGGGCGGCCGGCGGGGCGCGGGCGGTGCGGGGCAGCCCCGCTCCCCAGCTCGACTCGGGAGGGTTGACCTGCGGGGGGTCTCATCTTCAGACCAACCCACCGGCACTGAGGCGTGCGGGGGCACAGGTGCCCCGAGACCCTCGGTCTTCCCCTGAGAGCTCTGGAGTGAGCGCAGATGATGCCCCCCCACCCCCCCCATGCCAGACGGGCCCCGCTTCCCACCTGGAGGAGGGGAGAAAAGAAAAAGGAAAAGAAAAAAAAAATGTCAGGGTGCAGGGCTGGGTATCTTCTAGGTTAAACCAGAAAATGCTTCAGAGCCAAGAGTCTGCCCTGGATTGCATGAACAGTGCCGCACTCTGCTCAGATTTTTTAGTCTTGGCCTGTATTCGCAGGTGACATGATTTGTTTTCACCTTTTTGTTTTACAAAATAAGATTCTGACCCAAGTGACAACAATGGGAGGGGGTCTCCATCTTCATTTATCCCAGGCTTTAGGGCATGCTTGGGTTTTCAGCACACGTGAAATTGTTTACTTGAGTTCGGGCTTCAGCCAAATTCCAAGCAGAGATGTTGAGAACAGGCAGAACTTAAAAACACTAGCTATTTTAAACTTCCAGGGTCAGATAACCTAATTCTTAAGTTCTTCAATAATGGTGCTATTTTGTTTGCGATAGGTATTTTCCTTCTTGGAATGAGAAGACATTAAATTCTCTTTTCAAAGCAAAGCCAGTGGAATTTTAGATCCTTTTTATTTCTTTTTACACAGTAACCGATAGCCACAGGTCTCAGCGAGGAGTGAAAATTTGAAAAGTATTTTCAGATAGACATCAGTGAGTTTATTCATACTCACAAGGCCAAGTTTGGGTTCAACTTGATGCCATGAGGGGTCAGAATACATACTCCATGGTATAGAGTTTATCAGTTGCATAGTAAATGCTCAGTATTTCAGCTATGCTTGAGAGAAATACTGCGTCATTGTGCATATGCACATATATGTATTTATGTACTTGTATGTATACTTGATACATTTTTTTGTTAGTGGTTCTGGGGTGGAGCCCAGGCTCACATATGCTAAGCATGTGCTGTACCACTGAGCTAATCCACAGCACTTTTTTTTTTTTTTTTTTTTTGGTGATACCAGAGCTAAAACTTCTCATAATTTTTCTGATGACATAAAAACAATTGAATAACTTCTGTCACTTTTCCACTTGTGATGTCAGCATTTTGGACCCATTGTAGAGGTTTTAAGTTTTTTTTTAAACTATTGTTAGTCTTTTTCCTATCTAATTTAACATTCCAGCTACCTAAATGTGGGGATGTGATCAACAGATGTCTTGGATTGAATGTTCACTAGACTTCCTTTGAGGTAGCAAAATGTCTGATGGATTTCTTAATCTCTCCATAGCTATTTTTATTTATACTCATTTTTTTTCTCCAAAATTGCCTTGCCTTTAATTTCAGGGAACAAAGCAAACTGTAACATCTTATTTTGATTGTAGTGGTCAAGAATAGCTTCATGAAATTGTTCATCTTTTTCTTGTTGGGAAATCTAAGGATGGGGCAAGATATTTTTATTTTTTGCCAGTCCTGGGGCTTGAACTCAGGACCTGGGCACTACCCTGAGCTGCTTTTGCTCAAGGCTAGCCCTCTACCACTTGAGCCGCCATACCACTTCTGGCTTTATGCTAGCTCAGGCAGAAAAAGGTGGAAGTAGTTCTGTGGCTCAAGTGGTAGAGTGCTAAGCTTGAGCACAAAGAAGGCTCAGGGATGGTGCCCAGATCCTGAATTAAGCCCTAGGACTGAAGGGGGAAAAATTCTTGCCCAGGTTGGCTTCAAACCTTGATCCTCACATCTCAGCCTCCCTAAGAAGCTAGGATTACAGACTTGAACCACAGGTACCCAGCTTTTTAATTTTAATTTTAATTGGTCATGGGGCTTGAACTCAGGGCCTGGGAGCTGTCCCTGAGCTTTTTTGTGCTCAAGGCTAATGCTCTACCACTTTGAGCCACATCTCCACTTCCAGTTTTGTGGAGGTTAATTGAAAATGAGACTCATTGATTTTGCTGCCCTGGCTGGCTTGGAACCATGATCCTCAGATCTCATCCTCTTTAGTAGCTAGAATTACAGGCATGAGCCACCGTGCCCAGCTTTAGCGTATTTTGACTATGGCGGCGGAACTGAAGCTTAAGAGAAGAGGAAGGACCAGACTAGACTTGAGCAACTGGAATGCGTTTTTTGTTAGGGTTACTATTGCACAGAATTACAGAATGGGTTTTTTTTTTTTTTGGTCATGGGGCTTGAACTCTGGACCTGGGCACTGTCCCTCAATTCTTCAGCCCAAGGCAAGCGTCTACCACTTGAGCCACAGTGCCACTTCCAGCTTTTTCTATTTATGTGGTGCTGAGGAATCGAACCCAGGGCCTCATGCATGTGAGGCAAGCACTCTACCACTGAGCCACCTTCCCAGTCCCCCCCCACCTTTTTTTTTTTTTTTTTTGATTTTTTTTTTTTATTGTGAAAATACCATACAGAGGGGTTACAATTAGATGGGCAAGGTAGTGAGTACATTTCTTTCTTTCTTTTTTTTTTTTTTGCCAGTCATGGTGCCTAAACTCGGTGTGGGCACTGTCCCTCAGCTCTTCAGCTCAAGGCTAGTGCTCTACCACTTGAGCCACAGCACCATTTCTAGCTTTTTCTGCTTATGTGGTGCTGAGGAATTGAACCCAGGGCCTCATGCATGCAAGGCAAGTGCTCTACCACTGAGCCACCTTCCCAGCCTCTTCTTTTTTTTTTTTTTAATGTTAGTAAATATAATTGTATTTAAAAATGGGAGAAGATTCACCTTTGGTATATCGGGGAGCAACTCCCAATATAGCCTCCAGATAGATTGGAGAAAGTCTCCAGGCCTGATGATGAGTACTTTTCTTATCAAGCATTGTTACCTCCTCCTTTGTTTCCCCTTCCCATCTCTCCCATCTCTTCCCATCTTCCCCTCCCCCTCCCCCCCAACCCATTTTTAATCAACAGAAATTCTATGTGAAGTCCTGGGAGCCTGAATTCTAAGACTGAGGTGTCAACAAGGTTGATTTTCTTCTGAGGGTTCTCCTTGGCTTGTAGATGTCTGTCTTCTTCCTGTGTGTTCTTGTGCTGTCTCCCCTGTGTCTGTCCGGATGAAGAGCCCTTTCTCTTTGAATTAAAGTCCCTACCCTTGTGACCTCATTTAACCTGAATTACCTTTTTAAAGTCCTTATCTCCAAATGCTGTCACTTTGGGAGCTAGGCCGCCTTTATATGAATTTGGCAGGGGAAAAGACACAGTTTGTAGCAAGCACTTTTATCTTCAACACTGGCTGAAGAGATGCCAGAGAGCTGTGAGCAAGCAATGATTTAGGCATGTACCCTTCATATAATTGCTATTACCTTTCTGGTGGTCACAAAAAAGAATCTAGTAGATGCTATAAACACTTGTATGTATTTATTATTTTTAGAAAAAAGTGAACATATTGCCCTTCCTCCATTTCAAAGATTTCATGTAATCTTCTTTAAACCCAAATGTAGTTTGGATTGAATCTCTGCCCTTAGGGCAGGGCTCTTATTTACTGATTTCATTCAGTTCAGCGAACTTGGTGTAGGCTGACAACTAAGCATTAGAAACAGAATATATGATTGGGTCTGCCCTCAAGGAATCATAGCTTAGTTTGTTTTAGAACCCTAACAAGCTCTTTAATGTAGAGAATCTGGGTTGTAAAATACAGGTTTCTAAGGCAATTTTCTTTCTGTCTACATTGCTTGTTTCTGATTTCTCACTTCATTCATTCTAGTGTTTTCCACCCTCTACCATTCACTGAAGTTGGCCTCTCAAGGTCTGTAACAAATGGACTTTTTTTTTTAATCAAACTGGTGACTACTGATGAGTTCTGTAGAACATAATTGTCTTACTCATTGTATGTCCTGAGCTTTCTCTGTGAGCCATTTCTTTTCTTTTCTATTTTTTTTTGGTGAATGCCCTTTATGGTGTTGTTGCCAAAGAGGTTAATTATCTTTTCCTGCTTCTCACTTCTTAGAATGTTGTAGGTTGATTTTTTTCTAAACACAATTTATATTAGTAAATTCATTATCCCTGATAATCTATAAATAAATTACGTATGTCAATTCGTTTCTGTATCATCTGCAATAAAATATTATTAATCCTTTGTAGTGTGATAAAGGTCTATAATCCCAGCCCTCAGGAAGCTGAATCTGGAGTTTGTCTCAAGACCCTGTCTCAAAACAAACAGATAATATCCCAGAAAAACAAAAAATAGTTTATAGACATACCATTAGAAGATGGATGTTATTTTCTCTTTGTGTAATATGTGTGTAATATATATATGTATGTGTGTATGTATAAATGTATATATATATATAAATCAGGCTCACTATGTGTGTATAGTGTGTGTATATATGTATATATATATACACATGTATATATACATGTGTATACATACACATATGTGTGTGTATATGATTGTGGTGCTAGAAATCAAACTTAAGGCCCACTGAGTCCCCCTCTCTTAGTCCCTAAATATATACTTACATTTTCTACTTATTCCTTCCCTATAATAGAGAATTAGCCATGTAGATACCAACTGTAGCTGAGAAAATTAAAATTAAAAATTAAAACTTTTATCTCAAATTCTTATTTTCCTTGAGCTCCAGGGTCATGTGTCAAACTTGATGGTAGCCCCCACTTGGAGTGAGTATCTGCAATTTAATACATCTAAAACGGGTTTCTTGATTTCTACACTTGTTTCTCTCTTCAGTCTTGCCCATTTGAAACATTACCCACTTTGCCTCAGTGGTTCAAGCCAGGGACTTAGGTGTCAGTCTTGATTTTGCCTTTCTGTTTATTTCCCATTTTGCCTGCTGAGACACCTTAATTCCCTGTGCCGGTCTTCTGTCTCTTTAAATAAACTTACATATATTCTTTTCTCTGTGATCATCACCACTACTACA